TTTTTGATTTATTGTAGAGATGAGGTCTCACCAAGTTGCCTGGGCGGGTCTCGAACCCGCCGGCTCAGGCAATCCACTCACCTCAGCCTCCCAAAGTGCGGGATTACAGGCTGAGCCACCGAACCCGGCTCATCAGGCTGGTCTTAAACCCCTGAGCTCAGCCTCAGCCTCCCAAAGTGCTGGGATTACAGGCTTACGCCACCATGCCCAGCCTATCCCTCGCTCTTAGATCTCTCTGCCTGGCCTGTGTGGATTCCCTGGTGTTTTTCGAAAACCCCGACACTGGGGTGGAATTCTGGTTTCCAAACCAAATCTGCTGACAGATTGGTAGACAGACAGTTCTTTTATTTTATTTTTTTTAGAGATGGGTTCTCTACAAAAAGCTGGTCACTTTAAGACACTGCCTTTGTTTGACCTAGAGAAACCATGATGAAATCTGCTGACTTTGCCTTCTTTTGCTTTAATGGGACTGGAAGCAATCAAGGCACATTGTTCCGTCCTTGGTGCATGTTCTCAGGCTGGGTTTCTCCCCCACAGGTTCATTGCAGAAGAGGCCGCTGCATCTGGGGCCAAGTGCGTGCTCACCCACAGCCCAACTTGGATCATTGATCCCATTGATGGCACCTGCAACTTTGTGCACAGGTGAGTTAAGCAGGAAGCACTTCCGTTGTAGATCTTAAGATGCTCTTTTTATAAGATATTCTCCTCAACCGGCGCGGTGGCTCACTCCTATAATCCCAGGACTTTGAGAGGCCAAGGTGAGAGGATTGCCTGAGCCTATGAGTTCAGGACCAGCCTGGGCAACTTGGCGAGACCTTTTCTCTACAATAAATAAAAAATTAACCAGGCATGGTAGCACGTACCTGTAGTTCTGGCTAATTGGAAGACTGAGGCGGAAGGATCACTGGAGCTCAGCAGGTTGAGGCTATGGTGACCATGAGCGTGCCACTGCCCTCCAGCGTGGGCGACAGAGTGAGACTCCAACTCAAAAAAACAAAAGCTTTCTTCTTTAAGGTTTTGTCTTTTCAAAAGCAGATTATTATTATTATTAATTTATTTTTTAGTTGGCGTCTCACTCTGTCACCCAGGCTGGAAGGCAGTGGCACGATCACGGCCACGCAGCCTCAACCTGAAAAGCAGATTTTTTAAAAGTTAGGAGTATATAACCAAACCTATATATGTAAGCAAGACTGTGTACAGGTTTATGGTCTCATTAAAAAGATGATCAAATCTTGATATTTTAAAAAATCAAGTTTTCCATTTGTGAGCGCTTCTGGAGTATATAAGGAAATCTTCACTTGTTTAAAAACCATTGTATGTGTTATGCTAAAAATGCTGGACTGGCCAGGTGTGCTGGCTCACACCTGTAATCCTAGCACTTGGGAGGCGGAGGCGAGAGGATTGCCTGAGCCCAGGAGTTCAAGACCAGCCTGGGCAACATGGTGAGACCTCGTCTTTACAATAAATCAAAAAATTAGCCAGACATGGTGACACATACCTGTAGTGCCAGCTACCTGGGAGGTTGAGGCGGAAGGATCACCTGAGCCCAGCAGGTAGAGCCTGCGGTGGTCATGATTGTGCCACTGCACTCCAGCCTGGGCGACAGAGTGAAATCCTGACTCAAAAAAAAAAAAAAAAGAAATGCTGGACTACATTTAAGAAAGACCCTTCAAGGAATCTTCCTGGAGAAACAGATTTGAAAAACAAAGCCAATGCTGCCCAGCAGTGGCCAGAGCCCGAGGTGGAGAGAGTGGCACGTGACAGGTGAGATTTGAGACCCATCTTTCGGCACAAGGAGCAAACCTTGTGGTTATGGAAAACAAGAGGTTTGGGGAGGTCAGAGAGTGATGTGGGCGGAGGTGAAGGGAATGGAGTTGCAGAGCTGGGGCAGTGACAGGGCCATGATTGAGGAGCTCTTGGACAGTGACAGGTGCTGGCTTTGCACAGGTGACCAAAGGTGCAGGGCATGAAGTGCAGGGCATGGCTTCCACAGAGGATGTCTCTGACTGGGGAGTGTACCTAGAGCTCCCTGGAGAGAGTTGCATTCTGTGGGGCAGGGTGGCCTGTGGCATGTGGCTTTCAAGCGCTCACAGGCCACGCCAGCATACTGGGCCCCTCTATGCTAGGTAAGAGAGCATAATAGAACTTGGTGTAGGGTCCTCGTCCTTGATGCTGTCCTTTATGCCACCTGTAATGGTACATTTACATGTAAAGCTTGTCAAGTAACTCCAAGAACCATAAGCATAGCCTCTCCAGGTGAGGGTTACCTTGAAAATTCAGTCATGCCTGCACAAGGTGACCCTCTTAAAGCAATGGAGTCGTGCTGTCTGGTGCCAGCAATCGTATCACTAGGCTCTCATTTCAACTAAACCAGACTCCTTTCCAGGGATTCCCTCAGTGTGTCACTGAGTGGAGTACCCGTCACTTCTGCCTGATCATAGCTCCAGGGTGCTTGTAACAGGGACATGATGGGCAAAGCCCTGTTATATGGTGAAGGTCATATGTCCATCTGAGGGGCTACTGATGGCTTCAAAGCCACAGTTTTCAGTGCTTCCCCCCTCTTTTTTTGAGACAAGGTCTTGCTCTGTTTCCCCAGCTGGAGAACAGTGATATGATCATAGCTCACTGCAGCCTTGAACTCCTGGGCTCCAGTGGTCCTCCCGCTTCAGCCTCCTGAGTAGCTATGAGTACAGGTGCACACCAGCACACCCAGCTAGTTCTTTTATTTTTTTTAGAGATGGGTTCTCTACAAAAAGCTGGTCTTGAGCTCCTAAGCTCAAGCAATCCTCCCACCTTGGTCCCCAAAGCACTGGGATTGCAGGCGTGCGTCTCTGCGCCCAGCCCACCAGTGTGTCCCTTTCTACAACCCTCAGGGGAAGGTGGGGCCAGAAAGGCAACTTGAAAAAGAGTATCAACTTCTAAACAGACTCTAGTGCTGAACCTGACAGTTCTAGAACCCTACGGGCCATAGCTGTAGTGATTGTGATCATCATGGTCTGAAGGCATCCGAAAGCCTTTTGGGAGCACAGCTCAGATCACGCCTGGTCACTCTTGTGCCCCGGTGATGGGACTACAGCAAGTGGGAGAAAGCTCTTCTGAGCTTGGAATAGCGTGAAGCCTGGTGCATGGCACACTTACTCTGGGAGCCAGCATACCTATGACTTGTCATTTCGGTGCCCCGCCCGTCTCGGCCGTCAGGGTTACATTTGTGTACAGGCTGGTTTGACATTTTTCCTGTCAGTTTGCAACACTCAGCCTTTCCTCATTCCTGCCTATTTTTAAGCTCAGATAATCTTTGCATGAAGGAGAGATTATTTTGAAGACTTTGAGCCACATCAAAATCACAAAACCACAGGCAAACTTGTGACGTAAAAACCGTCCTTCTGTCACTGCGTCTCACCCTGCTGCTGGCTGCTTGGGAGCTTCAGCAGGGACAGGGATGGGTGCTAGTGGTGCCACAAGGTGACTGTGACTCAGAACTGGCCACCGTGGGGAGGCTGTGGTACCTCCTGGGACCTGCCCATCCCCACCCCACCCCGGGATAGGCGTCTGGCCTTTCAGGCGGGCCCCACTGTCTCTCTAGGTCTCTGAGAACCAGAAAACTGATTAATCAGATTATCCCCAGTTGAGTATTGGAGGGTCATTGTTGAATTACATTAGTCTCACGTGACATTCAGAATGCTGTTTTCTCTCAAGGTTAACTGTTTTACAACATAGTCAGCTAGGTCTGTTTGTCTTGGAAGCAGTTAGTGAAATTGTGGGAAGCAGTTTTCAACAACCAGAGCGTAGAAAGGTCTCTGTGAGCCTGGGGTGAGCTGCACAGACATGGGCTCCTGAGAGCTGGTGTGCCCATCTCTGAGTGTAAATCCTTCTGTCTTCCTTTGCAGATTTCCCACTGTGGCAGTTAGCATTGGATTTGCCGTTCGCCAAGAGGTACGCCCTTAGTCCTGGGGTCCCCTTGGGGGTTCCTTTAGTCACTTTCCAGCTTCAGCCTCTGCATGCCTGGTTTGTTCTTTGCCCTATTACTATTTTTTTTTTTTTTTTTTGAGTCAGAGTCTCACTCTGTCTCCCAGGCTGGAGTGCGGTGGCACACTCACAGCTACCACCACCTTGACCTGCTGGACTCAAGTGATCCTTCCTCCTCAGCCTTCCAAGTAGTTGGACTTAGGCATGCACCACCGTGCCCAGCTAATTTTTTGAGATCTCACCAAGTTGCCAGACTGCTCTCAAACCCCTGGGCTCAGACAATCCTCTCGCCTCTGCCTCCCAAAGTGCTGGGAGTACAGGCGTGAGCCACCGCACCCGGCTCTTTGCCCTATGTCTTAAGCCTGTGGTTTTCCTTTTTTTTTTTGAGTTGGAGTCTCACTCTGTCACCTAGACTGGAGTGCAGTGGCCATTCCTGGCCACCGCAGCCTCGCCTGCTGGGCTCCGGTGATCCTTCCGCCTCAGCCCTCCAAGTAGCTGGAACTACAGGCGCATACTACCATGCCCAGCTAATTTTTTTTTTTTTTTGAGTTGAAGTCTCACTCTGTCGTCCAGACTGGAGTGCAGCCTTGACCTGCCGGGCTCTGGCAATCCTTCCACCTCAGCCTTCCAAGTAGCTGGAACTATAGGCGTGTGCTACCACACTCGGCTGATTTTTTGATTTATTGTAGAGATGAGGTCTCACCAAGTTGCCCAGGCGAGTGTCGAACCCACGGGCTCAGGCAATCCACTCCCCTCGGCCTCCCAAAGGCGCGGGATTACAGGCTGAGCCAAGGCCTGTGGTTTTCAAGTCCGAGAAAGTGAACAAGCACAGAATGGGTCTGAGGTGTGTAGCGTGGGACTCTGTGGCTGACCCTTCCTCCCATGGGAAGCTGGTCTTCGATCCCTCCGTGACCTTTTTGTGATGCTCCCTTGGAAGCGGAAGTTCTGAGCACGTGGTCCAAGTTAGTCTCCATCTGACCCCTAGAGCGTGTGATCTAGTCACAAACAAAAAGGAGCTCCTATTTTAAGAGATCATTCTTAATCTGTGTTCTATTGCTTCTTCTTTATCTTCTCTGACCATTAATATGGGAACATGGCTCTCTCAGGGTTCCCATAGACCTTCTGAACTAGGCAATATCATGGGACCTGTGTGGAATGTGGGGGCCGAGGCTTGCGCTTTATTGATCAATTCAAGCAGCAACACTTAGAAGACTTGTAATTTCTTTGTAGTTAATACATTTTTATTTAAATAGGGCTGAGTGTGCAGTGTTTCTCAAAAGCAGCATTTATCCATCTTTTTTTAAAAATTTTTTTAATTTTGAAGATGTGGGGTACGATTCAGGGTTAGGTTTACAAATGTTCATTATGCAGGTATCTTTGTAGATGAGGTGTGCCCCCCCCCCCCCATTTGTTCATCTTTATCCTGAATCTCAGCATAGATTCCCTGGCATGGAAGCCAAGAAAATTGTCTGTCCATCTCAAAATATTTAAGTTGAAGATGAGTAATGACTTTAACACTGAACTTTGGTTAAGGTCTTAATTATTCACGTTTCTCTATTCGGTGTTAACGGTGCACAGCAAGTGTGGAATGCTAAGCAGTACTTGAGGGATTTGATTGATGCTCTGACCACTGTGTTCCCAGTGACCGTGAGAAAGGGCCGCTGGAAAGGCTGGCCTGGTGTTATTCCCACGTGTGGGCCTCCCTCGTGTTCTCAGTGACTGAATGCAGGGAGCTACTGGTTTGTAGTGGTGGGTCTCTCCCCAAGGGGAGTGCCTCACCTTCCCTCCTGACCCCAGAAGCAGGGCCAAGCCTCAACCACCACATTCCACACAGGTCCCTTGATACTGCATAGTGCATACGTCCCTTTGATATTCCCCTTTGGTCTGGGGACCCTCCACAGCTCTTCAGAGACCAGTACAAATCTAGAATTGACCTGGGTTTGGGAGTTCCTTTAAGCCAGGATGCTGGAAGGGGAGAGGATGATGAAGTATCCCTAGGAAGCGGTAGGCTCTCAGTATGTGTTGGCTGAATGAAGCCCCAAGAAACACACCCCTTTTCTGTAGTCAAGGTGTCCGTCCCGGTGGGGTTGAGCTTGTCCCAGGACTGGCTGAGGCTTGCCTGAGGCATTTAGCCTGGATCTTTTTTCATTTTCCAGAGAGGTGAACCGTTGGCTAACCCCCAAACCAAGCACATTTGCCCTTGTTGACCCTGAGTAGTGAAAAGAAGGCAGAGGAAAGGTCACGATGGCCTGCGGGTGAGAGGGGTATGAGGGCACACGTCACTCCACCCTGACCGCTTCTGTCTGGTGTTTCTGATTGGGAGACTGCTGTCTGGCGCTTTGTCACCTGATTTAGGGCGGTGAGGCTTGCTGTTTAGCGTTCTGCCTGCTCAGAGATTAGTCCCGTCTTTGGCAGGTCACTTCTTCCTGGGTTGTCCTTGGGTTGTTGTGATTCTGTTGGCTTTATAGATGCGTTCTTCATTCTTTCCACATCAGCATTTCCAGGATTTCTTATGGGTTTTGACAGGAGTCACAAGTAACCTTTTTTCCCCCAGTGAAAAAAAAAAGATGCTTTTTCAAACAATGACACTTTTTCAATAACTTTTGGTTACTAATGCTTGATTATGGTGTTAATTTTTATTATAGTTACATTAGTCTTAATATACATTAAAATATAGTTATTTAACAAAAGAAAACTTGCTTTCATGCCCAGCTTTAACTCTAGACACTGATTTTTTATAGTTCCTTCATAGTTGTTACTGTGTTAGTCCTAGCACTAGAGCAGCCTTCATCTTTGGATCACAGGATTGCCTAAGCCTAGGCATTCGTGACCAGCCTGGGCAACTTGGTGAGACCTTGTCTCTACAGTAAATAAGTAAATAAATTAGCATGTTAAGTGAGTGAACTGCCTGTATTTTCTGTCCTGCAGCTTGAATTTGGAGTGATTTACCACTGCACAGAGGAGCGGCTGTACACGGGCCGGCGGGGCCAGGGCGCCTTCTGCAACAGCCAGCGCCTCCGGGTCTCCCGGGAGACAGGTGGGGCTTCACGAGGCAGGTCTCAGTCTATCTCTGATGTGGAAGTGTGGACGGAAAATGCCAAGAGGCACCCTTATGGGGACAGTGGCGGAAATCTCCTGCTGACGGTTCCATCTTTAAAGGGACACCGTGTCCCAGATGAACTGGAAATTGAGCCAGTTCTGCATCTTAATATTTTTCTTGATGCTGGCCAGGAGCTTTAAATAGCCTCTTTCTGCTCTGTACTCACATCCTTCATCTTTTTTTTTCTTTTTTTTTAATTTTAAAGATGTGGAATACAATTCAGGGATAGGGATACAAATGTTCATTATGCAGGTACCTTGTTAATGAGGTGTGACCCACCTTCCCCAGGCAGATTCCCACTACTGCCGTTCCTGCTTCCCTACCCCCCTCCCGGCAGTTTCCCACTACTGCCAATTCTTATAGTAAAATGATAATTTTTCAAGGTCCGCTTATGAGTGAGAAGAACATGTGATACTCAGTTCTTTGTTTCTGTGAAAGATCACTCAATATTATAGACTCTAAGTCCATCTGGGTTACTGTGAAGTTCATGATTTTGTCCTTTTTTATGGCTGCGTAATATTCCATTGTGTGTATGTACCACATTTTTTAAATCCAGTCCTTTTTTTTTTTTTTAATTGGAGTTGGAGTCTCACTCTGTTGCCCAGACTAGAGTGCAATGGCCACTCCCAGCCACCGCAGCCTCAACCTGCTGGGCTCCGGTAATCCTTCCACCTCAGCCTTCCAAGTAGCTGAAACTACAGGAGTGTGCTACCACACTCGGCTAGTTTTTGATTTATTGTAGAGATGGGGTCTCGCCAAGTTGCCCGGGAGGATCTCGAACCTGCGGGCTCAGGCAATCCACTCATCTTGGCCTCCCAAAGCGCTGGGATTACAGGCTGAGCTACCGAGCCCGGCCCAGTCCTCTTTTGATGAGCAGCATGGTTGGTTTCTTGTTCTTGCTACTTTAAACAATTCTGCGATAAACGTGTGTGCAGGTATCTTTTTTGTAGAGTGATTTACATCTGTCATCTTTAAGGCTAAACTGAGAACTCTAGTCACCAGTTATGATTTGGTCTCTGGTGGGACTGGGTGAGCAAGCCAAGGCCAAGCACAGTCAGAAGTGGGCTCTGGCCCTCAGAGCATCGGGGCACATTTTCGGGGTCCTGATGTCACCTAGCTGATGTTCCCAGGTGCAGTCTGTGGCTTCAGTTTCCGTGAGAAGACAGTGGCCTCAAGAATGAGTTGTATAAACAGAGGTGTTTTATGTACCTGAGGCTCACCACCATAATCATGGCTCCCCCTGTTTTCCTTAGAGTAGACCCTCAAGGACATCCAGGAGCTTCATTTTTAGACCCAGGGTCTCCTTCTATCACCCACCCAGGCTGGCGTGTAGTAGTGCAATCATGGCTCATTGCAGCTATGACCTGCTGGGCCCGAAAGATCCTCCTGCCTCAGCCTCCTGAGTAGTTATGATGGCAGGCACATGCCCCCACCCCTGACTAATATTTCTTATTTTTTATTGTCTGTGTTGCCCAAGCTAGTATTGAACTCCTGGTTTCAAGCAAGCCTCCTACCTCAACTGCTCAAAGGTTTGGGGTGGCCAGTTGCGGTGGCTCAAGCCTGTAATCCCAGCACTTTGTGAGGCCGAGGCGAGAGGATTGCCTAAGCCCGCGGGTTCGAGACCAGCCTGGGGAACATGGTGGGACCTCATCTCTACAATAAACAAACAAACAAAAAAAATTGCTGGGCGTGGTTACACGCGGCTGTTATTCCAGCTACTTGGAAAGCTGAGTGGGGAGGATCACCTGAGCCCAGCTGGTCGAGGCTGTGGTGGCCGTGAGTGAGCCACTACACTCCAGCCTGGACGACAGAATAAGACTCCAATTCAAAAAAAAGCCGGGCTCGGTGGCTCATCCTGTAATCCTGCGCCTTTGGAAGGCTGAGGTGATGGATTGCCTGAGCCCGCGGGTTCGAGACCTGCCTGGGCAGCGAGACCTCGTCTCTACAATAAATCAAAAAATCAGTCGGGCGTGGTAGCGCATGCCTGTAATTCCGGCTACTCGGAAGGCTGAGGCGGAAGGATCGCCAGAGCCCAGCAGGTCGAGGCTGCGGTGGCCGGGAGCGGCCACTGCACTCCAGTCTTGGCGACAGAGTGAGACTCCAACTCAAAAAAAAAAGAAAAGAAAAAAAAAGGTCTGGGATTACAGGCATGAGTCAGCAAGCCCAGCCCTAGTAGCTTTTAGAAAGGATCTGTTGTTACACTTAAACTGCCTGTGATTGCATGGAGCTGCCTGTCATTTTCAGTAGGCCAGTTTAGGTTTTTGGCCTGTCTCCCACATTGATTAAACTAGTAATATTTTATTGCATTGTGTGATGGGTACTAGGGAGCAGGGGTCCCAACCCAGGGGCCACGTACAGTTAAGAACCGGGCCTCACAGCAGGAGGTGAGAGCAGTGGTGGCATTAGAGTCTCATAGGAGCAAGAACTCTTTTGTGAAACTTCACATGCGAGGGATGTAGGTTGTGAGCTCCTTATGAGAATCAAATGCCTGATGGCTGGTGCTTTCTGTCCCCTCCCCTGTCCATGGAAAAATCATCTTCCATGAAATTGGTCCCTGATGCCAAAAAGGTTGGGGATCGCTACTCTAGAGGATGGAACAATGTCAGAAATAAAGAGAAGAACCCCAACCTAGAAGCAGCTGGATGAGAAGACTAAAAGCTCCCTAAGGCACTTGGGAAGGCCCGAGGCAAGTGGATTGCCTGAACCCATGGGTTCGAGACCAGCCCAGGCAACTTGGCGAGACCTCATCTCTACAATAAATAAAAATTAGCCAGGTGTGGTAGTGCGTGCCTGTGGTTCTGGCTACTTGAAAGGCTGAAGCGGAAGGATCGCTGGAGCCCAGCAGGTCGACACTGGGGTGGTCATGAGTGTGCCACTGCACTCCAGCCTGGGCGACAGAGTGAGACTCCAGCTCAAAAAGAAAGCTCCTTAATATCCATGTGCTTGGGTTCCTGCTAATGTCTGCCTTACCTGTTTCTGAAGCTGGACGTTCCATAGCCTTCCACCTACACTTACTTCCACAACTACAGTCAGCTTCCATTTGAAGATATCAGCACCCTCGTTCTGCACTCCCATCAGCCTCCTTGCTGCCTCCTCTGGACCCTCTTCAGCCTCTCTTTCAAATGCCTTTCTTAGCACCCTTCATTGTCTCAGTTTATTCCTCCATTCCTTCCTCCCTGGCTGATACCCGTGTGTATCTGTGGTGAGAAGAGTCGGGGTGCTCCTGCCATTGCCCACCTCTGCTAGGTGGGCCTGTGTGCCCAGTGAGAGCGGCGGACCAGGACCGATGGGGCTGTCAGAATACGGCCTGCCCCATGGGAAGGACAGGGCGGTGGGACTGTGGAGAGGAGAGGAGGCGACTGCCACCGAGTGAGGCCACAAGAGTCCTAAGCATGCCCAGAGCAGAGGAGAGAACTCACGGGGGACAGGCGTGGGGGGCCTCTGAGGAGAAGCCAGCCGCAAAGAGAGCCTGTTAGTGCTTCTGAACCCGGAGAGGTCTTGGAACAGCCTGGATCCAGCCCTACCCCATTTCCCTCTCTCCAGAAGTGTTTTGTTTGGCCACGTAAAAAGTAGCATTAATGACAGCTCTGCACGCCAAGGGGCACCCACTCGAGCCTAATTGTGTAACACAGTGGTGAGGAAGCGTATTATTAGGCATGCTCGGGTGAACTTTGCTCTATATTTCACTGGATTATAACACTGAGCTCTGCTTACTTATGCTCGGCTTCCTGGTTGGCCGCGTGCATAGCTTAGTCACGTGCTGCAGCTTCACTGCAGCTTCACGTCCTTGGTGGGACTTGCAGACCTGCTCATTCGAGCACGGCTTGCCTGGGCTCCGCCAGGCGGGGGCTCTATCTGGTCACCGCTCTGTCTGGCCCCCATAAGCACCCGGTGACTTAGGATGAAGGAAGCTCCTGTCCCCACAGCGTTCCTTGCTGACTTGGTGTCATCTCGCCTCTGCACCCAGCTGCACTGTGGCCCCTCTTCTCTCAAAGGTGTTCATGTCCTGAAGCTCATTGGTGACTTTTAAGAAAATTCTGATGGGTAAAGTGCCGTGTGTGGTTTTCAGCCCTGGTTTTTTTTTTTTCTTCTTTATAATCAATATTTTTTATTATATTGTGGGGTACAGTTAAGGGTTAGGTATACAACTATGCTTCGTTCAGGCACCCTTGTTGATAAGAGGTGTCTCTCCGTCCCAGACAGATATTTACTACCATTAATCCCATCTCCCTTCCCCTCCCACTACCATAGTTTCCCACCACTGTCAGTCATTTTCTTATGGTAATACGTTGGATGATCAAGGTCCACTATATGAGTGAGAACATGTGATACTCGAATCTTTGTTTCTATGAGAGGTCACACAGTATTATAGACTCTAGTTCCATACAGGTTGCTGCATGGTGGCTCATGCATATATTCCCAGCACTTTGGGAGGCCAAGGTGAGAGGATTGCCTGAGCCCACAGGTTCGAGACCAGCCCAGGCAACTTGGCGAGACCTCATCTCTACAATAAATCAAAAACTTCACTTAATTCTTTTTTTTTTTGAGTTGGAGTCTCACTCTGTCGCCCAGACTGGAGTGCAGTGGCCGCTCCCAGCCACTGCAACCTCAAC